TCCTCCGCCCCCCCACGCCCCCACTGGGGCCGGGGGGGCGGAGTGCGCTGCCGAGGGGCGCAGCGGGGACCAGGCACAGGGAGGAGCCGGTGGGACAAGAGCCGGGGCCTCCTGGGGCCCAGGAGAACTTTCTTCTTCATACAACTGTGCCGGGAGGATCCGCTTCAGGATACGGATCCAAAGGGAGCGTGAGATGCCAAGACAGCGCCGCTGATCTGCCCCAGCCCAGCTGGAAAGACAGCCCTTGCCTGCTCCTTCACCAAAGCAAACAGTTAAGTGCAACCTTTTCCTTCATCCCTGCCCCCCCACCCTCCTTTCCTCCAGCATCCGCTGCCCACAGCTACGTTCTTCCCACCCTCTCCCGCTGACCGGCAGCGCTCTCCCCAGGTACTCTCTCCGCTGCCCTTCACTTGCCTTCTGCATCTCCTGGTGAACCTCCCTCGCCCTTCCCTCCCATCTCCTTCTCCCACCCCACAATGTCCACCACTCCCCTCCCCAGCACGTCCCCCTTGCCCTCCACTGATGCCTTCCTGAAGCAGAGACCTGGTGAGAGGTCTCGTGTCTCAGCCCCGGCTTCTCCGAGCCACTAATGCCCCGTCTGCTCCTACTGCAGCCAAGGACCACATCCCACCTCCCACCATGGAGCTGAACCAGACCGTCCCACCTCCCACACCACTCCTGCCAGAGACCGATGGAGATGAGCTGTGCGGGATGGAGGTCACCGGCATGGCCATAGATGGTGTGACGCTGCTCATCTGCCTCTGCGGGCTGCTGGGGAACGGGGCCGTCCTCTGGTTCCTTGGTGTCCGCATACGCAGGAACCCCATCACCGTCTACATCCTCAACCTGGCCGTCACCGACTTCATCTTCCTCCTCCTCATGGGAACCTCCTCCCTCCTGTACATGATAGAGAATGCCTCTTGCTCCACTGTTCTGTCTCTGCGGTTCCTGAAGGCGCTTTTCCTGCTCTCACTCTTCTCCTACAACATGGGCCTGTACCTCCTGACAACCATCAGCATCGAGAGGTGCGTGTCCATCCTCTGCGCCAGCATCCACCGCCCCCGGCACTTGTCAGCTGTGGTGTGTGTCCTGCTCTGGGCCCTCTCCATCGCTGTCATTGCCACAGTGACTTCTCTGTGCCTCTTGCACGAGCATGAGCACTGCCGGATGGCTCTCATCTTCATGTACGTCCTCAATTTATTCATCTTTGCACCAACCATGGTCATTTCCAGCATAATCACTTTCATTAAGGTCCTGTGTGGCTCCCAGCAGCACCAACCCAAGAGGTTCTACGTTGCTATCTTCCTCACCATCCTCTTCTATCTCATCTTTGGGCTTCCCCTCAGCATCTGGAATTTCCTGCAGCAGTTTGACTACCCCGTCATTTCCTACCAGGTTGTTTTCCTGCTCGCCTGCATCAACAGCAGCATCAAGCCCTTCATCTACTTCTTGGTGGGGAGCTGCAGGAGGCACTGCTCCTTGGTGTCGCTCCGGGTCGCCTTCCGGAGGGTCTTCAAAGAGCCAGAAGACAACACAGCATGCAGCAACGCTATTAGGATGGACCCACTGGCCCCAGCCAGTTGAAGCCTTTCCAGCCTTGCTCTGCTTAAGGCCCCCGGCTCAGTGCCTGAGGGCTTCCTTGGTGTCCTGGTTTGGGCTGGGACAGAGTTCATTTTCTTCCCAGGAGCTGGCACAGCGCTGTGTTTTGGACTGAGCGTGAGAAGAATGTTGACACCACCCGGGTGGCTCGGTTGGTGCTGAGCAGGGCTTACACCGGGCAAGGACTTCTCAGCTTCCCTGCTCTGCCAGGGCCACAGGGAGCTGGGAGGGGACATGGCGGGGACAGCCAACCCCAACTGACCCCAGGGGATTCCACGCCGCATGACGTCCTGCTGCGCACCC